CAGAGAATAGATGATAAGGAAACCTGGTGGTGGAATAGTGAAGTGCATAAAGCTGTTCAAAGAACGAGATTAGCCAAGAAGAAGTATGACAGTGAGAGGACTGAAGAGAGGAGACAGGAATATAAGGAGATGGGACGTAGAGCAAAGAGGGAGGTAGCTAAGGCAAAGGTTGTATTAATATGATGAGTTGTATGGGAGACTGGACACTAAAGAGGACAAGAAGGAGTTGTACCAATTGGCAAGACAGATGGATCAGGCTGGAAAGGATGTGCAACAGGTTAGGTTTGTTAAAGATAGGAATGGTAATGTTCTAACAAGTGAGAAGAGTGTGACAGATGGAAGGAGTACTTTGAGCAGCTAAGGAATGAAGAGAATGAAAGAGAAAGAAGAGTAGAGGTCATAGAAACTGTGGACCAGGAAGTGGGAAAGATTAGTGAGGGTGAACTTTGTAAAGCTCTGAAAATAATGAATAAGGGGAAGGCAGTAGGATCAGATACATACCAGTGGAGGTTTTCAAGAATTCAAGGATTGCTCTCTGTCTGTGTATTGGAGCTCCTAATTTTGCACATCTTCCGAAATTAAAACTACTGTTGTGGATCTGACCAACTGGACTTTAGACGCAAATGACAAAATCTTTTCAACAAAGGGACAGGGTCCTGGAGAACCCTCATGTCTGCCCGGACAACATTTATGCAGCTGTATATGTCTCCGGGGATGTGGAATGTGATGTGTCTATCTCTGCTGTCGATCAAGGATGCCAAAATTTTATATAATTCGATTTATGATAACAGGTTTCCTGTTTTTGGAATTGTCTGGTTCCTGGTTTATCAACATACAAAGAATACAGTCGCAGCTAATCTGGCCTGGTCAGGCTTCTGCTTATGTGAAGGTTTGGCTCGTGCTTTAAGGACTCAAAATCAGCTGATTTATGAGCTAAACCGTAAGATGGATGTGATTTGTGAGAATCACCTGGGGCTTTGGGACTCGCCAGCATGAAACGACCTCGGAGAGGCTCATAAGCATGGACCAATAGAATGCACCCTAATCTGGCCATTTCGAATCTTAGAAGTACCAGTAAGACTCAAGGCTGACTAGAAGAATAGTCTGTCTGTAAAAATCAACAATTGTGGCTTATCCGAATCTGACTCCCCAGTTGTCCTCGAAAACAGGCCGACATATCAGTTTCTCCTGGGAAATGTGTAAACTAAAGAAAAGCTTTGTCTATCTAACAAACATATAAAATGGTAAAGAAAAACAGTAATAAGATCTAAGATATGAACTAAGAAAAACGTTAAGTAAAAAAACACTTAGCACTAATAGTAAAAAAAACAATACGCTGAACAGCAGCACGAACATAAGTCTGTGTGAGCAAATGAGTATGAATGAACACAGCAGCATGAAACAGATCAGCAGCAGCATGAAACAAATCAGCAGCAACATGAAACAAATCAGCAGCAACATTATGTGATTTTTAAACAGTGATTATTCTGGTCAGAGATTCAAGAGTCTAACAGCCTCAGGGTAGAAGCTGTTCCTCAGTCTAGTGGTTCTACACTTAATGCTCCTCAACCTCCTTCCTGAGGGGAGTGGGGCAAAAAGTGTGTGTGCTGGGTGAGTGGGGTCCTTCATGATGCAGGTGGCCCTCTTCCTGCATCTGGAGGTGTAGATGTCTATGATGGTAGGGAGGCTGACTCCAACATCTTCTGTGCAGCCTTCACCACTCTCTGCAAAGCTTTTCTTTCTGCAGCTGTGCAGCCTCCATGCCACACGTTGATGCTGGAGCACAGGATGCTCTCCACTGCACACCTGTAGAAGGAGGTGAGGACTGAGCTTCCCAGACCAGCTCGCCTCAGCCGTCTGAGGAAGTAGAGTCTCTGATGAGCTTTCTTGATCAGGCTGGTGGTGTTGTTGCTCCAGCTGAGGTTGTTGTTCATGTGTACACCCAAGTACTTGTAGCTGGAGACCACTTCCACTGCAGATCCTCATATGTTCAGTGTGTGTGTGTGTGTGTGTGTGTGTGTGTGTGTGTGGGGGGGGGGGGGGGGGGGGGTTGTTCTGTTTGAAGTCCACAACCATCTCCTTCGTCTTCTTCACATTGATGTGAAGGTTGTTCTTCCTGCACCAGCTCTCCAGGTGTTCCACCTCCTGACTGTAGCTGGACTCGTTGTTTGTGATGCATCTAACCACCGCTGTATCGTCTGCAAACTTTACAGTGTGACAGCCTGGATGGGTAGGTGCACAGTCATACGTGAGCAGAGTAAACAGGAGAGGGTTCAGCACACAGCCCTGAGGGGAGCCAGTGCTGAAGGTTATGGTGGAGAAGGAGAAGCTGTAGATCCTCACAGACTGTGGACTGTTTGTTAAAAAGTCTTTTGGAATTTGGAAATGTCTTGGAGAGATGGCAGTGAGGTTTTTGACTCACATATTCAATGGCATATTTGAAGGTGAGAAAATGCCTGAAGAATGGAGAAGAAGTGTGCTGGTGCCCATTTTTAAGAACAAGGGTGATGTTCAGAGTTGTAGCAACTACAGGGGAATTAAGTTGATGAGTCACACGTTGAAGATCTGGGGGAGAGTTGTGGAAGCAAGACTTAGACGAGAGGTGACTATTTGTGAGCAGCAGAATGGTTTCATGCCAAGAAAGAGCACCACAGATCCATCTTTGCTTTGAGGATGCTGATGGAGAAGTACAGATAGGGTCAGAAAGAACTCCATGATGTGAGATGTGCTGTAGAAGTGACAGATAGCTTCAAGGTGGAGGTGGGAGTGCATCAAGGATCAGCTCTGAGCCCCTTCTTGTTTGCACTGGTGATGAGCTGACTAACAGATGAGGTCAGGCAGGAATCCCCGTGGACTATGATGTTTGCAGATGACATTGTGATCTGTGGTGAGAACAGAGAACAGGTGGAAGAGAACTTGGAGAGGTGGAGGTATGCACTTGAAAGAAGAAGAATGAAAATCAGCCATAGTGACAGAGTCCATGTGTGTGAATGAGAGGGAGGAGGTGGAACAGTGAGGCTACAAGGAGCAGAGGTCACAAAGGTGCAGGACTTCAAGGACTTGGGGTCCACTGTCCAGGAAAATGGAGAGTGTGGTAAAGCGGTGAAGAAGAGAGTCCAGGCAGGATGGAGTGATGGAGAAAAGTTTCAGGAGTGATTTGTGACAAAAGAGTGTCAGCAAAGATCAAAGGAAAAGTTTACAAGACAGAGGTGAGACCAGCTATGTTGTATGGTCTGGAGACAGAGACATGGACAAAAAGACAGGAGACAGAACTGGAAGATGCAGAAATGAAGATGTTGAGGTTCTCCTTAGGAGTGACAATGATGGAGAAGATTAGGAATGAGATCATCAGAGGTACAGCACAGGTTGAACAACTGGGAGATAAAGTTAGAGAGGCCAGACTGAGATGGTTTTGGACATGTCCAGAGGAGGGACAGTGGGCATATTGGTAGAAGGATATTAGAAATGCAGCTGCCAGGAAAAAGACAAAGAGGAGATCTATGGATGCAGTTAGAGAGGACATGGAGGTAGTTGGAGTGAGGACAGAGTGAGGTGGAGGAGGATGACTCGCTGTGGTGACCACTGAAGAGGGAAAAGCCAAAAGAAGAAGAAAAAGAAGTTTTGTCTGTTAAGAATGAAGCATTAAATGGACAGAAAGACACGTTGAACCTCAGAGTTCTTGTCTTCAGGATCTGTGCAATAATGACACCTAGAGCCACATCGTTTGTAACAAAATCAAACCTTCGCTGGCATCATCTACTGCACTACTCCAGATATATTTTTTAACAGTTTCTGCTGCATTTACACCTGAAGTTTACACACAAACTTAAGAATTAAGTGAACAGATTTTTTTTAATGAATTATGTATTTGTGTGGAATCCAAACATGAAGCATTTTAGAATAGATGGCATCAGCCAGTTTCATGCCGGACCCCGATGACTTTGTGTCCTAGAAACCCAAACAACAACAAAGCTGTTTGTACCATTTTTATTTATGTCTACCTCAGTTTATCCAGATTCTGTCATCAATTGTTTAATTTGATTGCGTTTTGAAATTATTTATACTTGAGAAGAAACAAAAAAGTAAGCAAGAAATTACAATTGTTTTGGAAGAATATTTAGGTTGTTTATTTGCATTTTGATTTGTCTGTAATGCAAACATTTCCACTACCTAGTGGTGTGGCATCTGTCTTACATTGTTTTATTTTTAGATTTTATTTAAAACATTTTTTCGCATGACATCTGAAGTAATGTAGATTGGGCCTTGTCAACATTTAATGCTTAGAATAATTTTAGCTGATGATTTATTGGTTATATCAGATCTTATTACGGTTTTTGTTTTACATTTTATTGTTGGATGTAACTGGGACCCTGTGAACATAATTTCGTTCCATCACATGTACCACATGTGGTGCGAACGACAATAAAGAATCTCTGAATCTCTGAATTTACCAAAGTTCTTTCTTCCTAGATCTGTTATGAGCAAAAACATTTTGAGCAGTAACCTTTAAACATGGTCAAGTTCAATCTGGATTAAATTTTTCCTAGCTATACCTTGCAGTCTAAAGTTTGTCATACAATTGTTTTAATAAAACTGTAAGGTTCTACTCTTCATAAATACCCCAGATTTTAGTGCATCTACTCAACTAGGTGGAGTTAGGATTTCACAGAATTTTAAAGTCTGTAGCGTTTTAGTGATACCCAACATGAGAAAACACTAGAAACTAGAAACTGAAAATATAAGATCAAGTCTAGTTCAAGCCTGAAACAGTCAGAAGAAAACATCCTGACTTCATTTAAGAGTAGATGACTTCTTTCAGATGAAGAAGTGATGGAGGTAGCTGAGAACCCCAGTCTGTGGTCGGTGTATGAACAGGGTCTCTCCTCCGTCGGCTGTACGAGCCTCCAGTCGGTGCAACAATGCTACATAAACGGCTTGTTTTGTTTTGACCTTCCCTCCTCCTCCACCTCCTCCTTTCCTCCTCCTTGTTCACCTCAAAGTCGAGCAGATCACCGCCGTTTTCACCGCTGCCACCAGGCAAAAGGCATGGGACCATTTCTCAAAAGCACAGCGCAAGAACATAGACATTTGGCGCAAGCAGTGTGAGGTTGGTACACCTTTTATCTGTTCTCTACAGAAAGACAGACAGACAGACAGACAGACAGACAGACAGACAGACAGGCGATCAGACAGACAGACAGACAGACAGACAGACAGACAAGTCAGTCAGACAGACAATCAGACAGACAGTCAGTCAGTCAGACAGACGATCAGACAGACAGACAGTCAG